GTGTGTGTGTGTGCATGTGCGTGCGCGTGTGCGCTTGCGTGTGCGTGTGCGCGTGCGTGCGCGCGTGCGTGCGCGCGTGCGTGAGCGTGGGCGTGTGTGCGCGCGCGTGTGCGCGTGCGCGTGCGCATGCGCGTGTGCGCGCGCGCGTGCATGTTCGAATGCGCGCGCGTGTTCGCGCGCCCGCGCGCGTGTTCGCGCGTGCGCGTGCGTGTTCGAATTCGCGCGCGTGTGCGCGCGCGTGCGCGTGCGCGTGCGTGTGCGTGCGGGCGCGCGCGTGCGTGTGCGTGTGCGTGTGCGTTTGTGTGTGAGTGCATGTGCGCGTGCGTGTGCGCGCGTGCGCGCGCGTGCGCGTGCCCGTGCGCGTGCGCGTGCGTGCAGGTGCGCGCGTGCGTGTGCGTGTGCGTGTGCGTGCGTGTGCGCATGCGTGTGCGTGTGCGTGTGCGTGCGCGTGCGCGCGTGCGCTCGTGCGCGCGTGCGTGCGCGCGCCTTGTGTGTGGGTGTGCGCGCGCGTGCGCGCGCGCATGCGCGTGTCCGCGTGCGCCTCGAGCTGCGATCCATGTTCCTCCTGCGCCCTTCGTTGTCCCTAATCTCTTCGTGGGTCGCGCCTGTCCTGCCCCCCTCCTCTCGCCCGCAGGCTCTTCTGCTTGGGCGGCGAAATAGGGGCGGGTCCTGCGCCGGATGGCATTGCGACCTCGCGCGTTGGCCGACGCGGGCCGCTAGCGCGGCGCGCCGCGCTGGAAGCGAAGGCGCCCGCGCGCGACATTGCGCGGGAGGCTTGCGCGCAAATGTCGGCGCCGTCGACTCCGTCTTCTTCCGCCGCTCACTCGGCCTCGCGTCAGTCAGCCCCGGCGTCGCATATCAGAGCGCGACGCGCGGGCGCACTGCGCGGCCTGGGCGTCGAAGCCGAAGGGGATGCAGGTGCCGACTCTCTCCGCCTTGAACTGGGCGAAGTGGGCGTGGCCCCCCGCGGGATTCAGCCAGCCGGCGCCCTCGCCGTCGCCGCAGAGTCTGACTATCCGACCCTCTTTTTGGCAAGCGAGCCATGGGCCTGCGTCTGGATCCAGGCCCAGACCCCTCTTTCAAAATGATCGTTTCCTCCTCCCCCTCCTACTCCTCGTCTTTGTCTGCAGCCCTCCCCCCCCCCATCCCCCCCCAAACGCTTCCCCCATCTTGCTGCCCCGGCGATCTGTAAAAAGATTGGGGGATTCTGACATGCTGCATGGTGTGTGTTTCGTGTGTAATTATCATCGATGGGTCGGTCTCCTCAGCGGGCTAGAGCAATGTAGAACTACGCCGACGGCAGGGGGGGTGGGCCTGGATGCAGCTCACTTCTGAATCGCCAAACTTGCGCCATCCCTGGGCGCAGGGCCGCCCCCGGCGCGTGCCTCGGCAATCTTTTACGGCGCGCGAGGCGGGATGGCAGCCGCTACTGGCAGAGTTCTTGCAGCGGGCCGAGGCAAACTGACGCATCCCACGCATGAAATAAATCGCCAGACCAAGGTACAAGGTAACGCGCGGCTAAGCCGCACGTTCCCTGCCGTGGCCAGATCCGCGACAAAGCCCTGATCAGCCGCGCGTGTTTCGGTTATCTGCAGCCGAAGAGATCATGCTGTTTTGCGTCCGATTCTCGGCCGAGCGTGATGTGATGTCATGTCCTTTCCCTTTGCCTTTGCGATTCCAATCATGTTCGAAAGGGGATTCTTTTCGATGGTAACCATAGCTGCTCCACCATTAACTACCATTTCCTCTTCCTCTTCTGTTCGTTGTGTGCGTGGCAACCTGGGCCCGCCCAAAAACGGCGGCTCGTTTCCCGCTCTCAATTTTCGTCGGCATGTCCTGGATCACGCGGCGCTACAATGTGTTCGCCGCGGATGCAGGAGCGACTGATGGAGCTTCCGTCGGGGTCGCTGCAAGGCCAGCCCGGAATGCGCCATGACGCCTGGCTTGCGGCGGCGGCGTTTCGGTGGTGCGGCCAGGAGAGGGTCTCTGCGGCGCTAGCGGGCGGTTAGTGCGACGGGCAGGCGGCGCCGGCGGAAGGGGGCGAGCGTCTCCGAGAGAAGGCGCTGGACAAGTGGTTGAGCCAGCGGTTGCGCCAGGAGCAAGGCCAACGTCCATCGCAACATTTGTGCCAGGAGGGTCGCCGCTGATCGAATCAGCGACTGCCCCCGGCGCGGGTGCGCCGATGGAACTGGCAGCAAAGCCCGGGGCAACGCCGCTGGCTATGCCAGCGACGGCCTCGGCGCCTGCCTCGCTGGGCGGCGCTAGGACGGTCGGTCCCACTATGCCAGTTGAACTGGCCGCGTCGTCCACGCCCATAGCGATCGCGGCAGTTTGCTCATCATACTTTGCCACCATTCGGCCCCGAAGCTCGGCGTAGTCTCCATGAGTCCCTGCGGCCCACTTGAATCGACCGCCGATCTCGACGGTGAGAGAATGGATCGGCGCGGCGAGATTGC